GCAGCTGCTGCAGCAGCAGCAGCAGCAGCGGCGCGACCGCCCACGCTCTCCCGCCTCTTCACAGCGGGGCTCGCCTTCCGCTGTGGACTCCAGGGACTTCAAGGTGTTTTGCTGCTGCAACACGGATTTGGCTGCAGCAGGGGAAGCAGCAGAAGCACCGGCAGCCGCAGCCGCAGCAGCAGCAGCAGCAGCACAGTTGTCGGCAGCGCCCCCACCCCTCACCCTCTCCGGAGTCTTACAACAGAAGCAGCAGAAGGGACCATCAGCCAGCACCCCAGCAAGCAGCAGCAGCAGCATCTGCTGCCGCTGCTGCTGCTGCTGCAGCAGTAACACCTAGCAGCAGCTGGTGCCTCTGCAGCAGCTGCTGCTGCCGACCGCCGCCGCTGCAGCAGCGAGGATCCCCCCCCCCTGCCAGCATGAAAGACAAGGCAGCAGCTCACAGCCCCTCCGGGGTTGCTGCCTGTCGGCTGCTGCTGCTGCGGCTGCTGCGCAGCGGTTACACAGCAGCAGAGGCGATAGCAGCGCTGAAAGAAGGGCAGCTGCTGCAGCAGCAGCAGCAGCAGGATCTGCTCCATGCGCTCTCGGGGCTGCTGGATGAGTGCATGCAGCAGCAGTCAGAGGATGACCCACAACTTCCGAGCGGCGCTGCAGCAAAGCAGCAGCAGCAGCAGCAGCAGCAACACGATGCTGAGAACGAGAGGCCTTCACAGCAGCAGCGAGAGCTGCTGCCAGAGGAGGAGCAACCGCCTCCCGCCAAGCGGGCACGTGCAGCAGCTGCAGGAAGCAGCAGCAACGATGCAGCAGCAGCAGCAGCAGCAGCAGGGCTGCAGCAGCTGGGGGCAGGTGGGGTGCTCTCGCAGGAGCTGCTGTCTTTGCTGGTCGCGCTGCTGCAGCAAGTGCCTGCAGTTCCTGCTGCGCTGTCAGCAGAGTCTGCTGCAGCAGCAAGCAGCTGCTTGCGGCTCTTCTTCTCCCACCTTTCGGGCGTGGGGGCAGCAGCAGCAGCAGCAAATTCAGCAGCAGCAGCAGCAGCAGAAACCACAGAGACCTTCAGCAGCAGCGAGGAGTGGCAGGCTCTCATGGAGCGACGCGTTGCTGCCTTCTGCCAGCTGCTGTCTGCCTGCCGGCGCTCTGCTGCTGCTGCTGCCCCAGTAGCAGCAGCAGCAGCAGCAGCAGATGAGGAGGCGCTGTGGAAACACTGCAGCAGCCAGCTGCTGCTGCTGCGGCGGTGGGCGAAGTTCTTTGCTGCTGCTGCTCAAGACAGAGAGGCCCTCGTTAGCCGCATCGCCGCCAGCAGCCACCTGCAGGCCCTGTCTACAATGCTGCGAGACAGCAGCAGCAGCAGCAGCAGCAGCAAGGACGACGTAAGAAGCAGCAGCTTCTGCTGCTGCTGCTGCTGCCTACTTTCGGCGTTTGTTGCTGTTTTTGTCGCGGCGCCGCGGGTGCTGCTGCTGCTGCTGTACTATGCTGCTGCTTCAGCTCGCTGCTGCTGTCTCTACTGAAGCTTAATGCGGGAGCAGCTGAGGCGCAGCTGCTGCTGTTGCTGCTGCTGTTGCTGCTGCTGCTGCTGCAGGTGGAGGAAGCTTTAGGCCGGGCCTTCGCGCTGCTGCAGCAGGGGCTGCCCACCATCGGCAGCAGCCCGCAAGCTGCTGCAGCTGCTTCAAGAGACGCAGAAGCAAAGCTGCGGGCTGCTGCAGACCGGTGGAAGGCCGAGCAGGTGCTGCTGCTGCTGCTGCTGCTGCTGCTGCTCCAGCGTCTTTTGCGGGCTCCGCTATAGTTGATGCAGCACGGAAAGCAAAAGAAACGGCAGTGGCATTACAGGCCCTGCAGCAGTCAATGATGCTGCCGCTGCTGCTGCAGCAAGTTCTCTTGGTGCTGCATCCCCTTCTGCTGCCGTTGCTGCTGCTGCTGCTGTTCTCTCGCAGGAACGACAGCGACAGCAGCAAGAGGAGATCCTGCGTCGCAGCGCCTTTTCCAGAGCTTGCGTGGCCTTCGTGCTGCAGCGGCAGCAGGAGCAGCAGCAAGCTGCAGCAGCAGCAGCAGCAGCAGGCTTCGGCACTCCTGCAGCAACTGCTGCTGCCGCCCGCAGCAGATCTGTGGGCCACCCCTTCTACGTTCTGGGAATAAACCCGCACACTGCGACGGAGAAGCATGTAAGTGCAGCACCGCAGCAGCAGCAGCAGCACGGGTTAGCAGAGCAGCAGCAGCAGCAGTAAGGGCAGGCAGAGCAGCAGCAGCAGCAGCAGCAGCAGTAAGGGCAAGCAGAGAGGCAACAGCAGCCACGGCTTGCGATAGGAAGGCGAAGCACACCTCGGTAGTTCCTGAAAGTCTTTGTAGATCTCAAAGGTTCTGAGGTGCTGCCGTTTGTGCTGCTGCTGCTGCTGCTGCTGCTGCTGCTGCAGATTGTAGCAGCAAGGAAGAAGTGGCGGGCGCTGCTGCACCCCGACAAGTTCCACTCTCAGGAGGCCGAAATGCAGCAGCAAGCGACGGAAGCTTTCAAAGCAGTACGCAGTACCTGCAGCAGCAGCAGCAGCAGCAGAGCAGCAGCTGCTGCAGCAGCTGCTGCTGCTGTTGACGCTAACGCGTCCAGGGTGTTTGTGCTGCTGGTGACGAGTTGCTGGTGCTCGTCTGCTTGCCGCAACATCAGTGTCTGCGGATGCTGTTTTGCTGCTGCTGTTGTTGCCGTTGCTGCATTCGCTGCTGCTGCAGCTGCTGCCTTCGCTGCTTGCTGTTGCTGCTGCTGCTGCTGCAGTACGAAGAAGCTTGCGCAGAGGCGCTGCGGCTGCTGCGGGCCCGTGCTATGGACATCACGTGGGCCGTGCCGCCCGTGCCTCCGACACCAGGAGCAGCAGCAGCAGCAGCAGCAGCGGCTGCGCCTGCTGCTACAGCTGCTGCAGCAGGGGCAGCAGCAGCAAGCAGCACGTCTCCGCTCAGCGGGGGCGGCGCCAACGGCAACAGCGGCAATGGCGGCAGTAGCAGCAGCAGCAGCAGCAGCAGCAGCAACAGCAGCAGCAGCAGCAACAGCAGCAGCGGCACGCAAGTGCCAACCAGCTTGTACATGCCTGACGCTGCAGTAGAGCCTCTCCCGCGGCGGCGGGCGACAGGGGCGTTTCGGGTGTATGTGTATGCTGCGTCTGCTGCTGCTGCTGCTGCAGACAGCGGCGACGCCGCAGCAGCAGCTGCTGCTGCCTTTCGCTGCATCACAAAGGTCTGGGTGTACGTACACCGCCCGGTACGGGGGGGGCCCCCCGTGGCGCTGCAGCCTGCTGCTGGCAGCCTGAGCTGCGTGCTGCAGCAAGACGTGCTGCTTGCTGCAGCAGGCGACGACGCTGCAGCAGCAGGACGCAGCAGCAGCAGTGAAATCTACCTAGACGTTGCAGCAGTGCAGCCGCTGGCTCTCGAGAAGCAGCAAAGGTACTGGGTGGGCATTCAAGTGCAAAGCAGGCGGAAGCACATGTCTTTGATTAGCTGGCTGCCGCTGCAGCTGACGGTGTCAGTGCCGCCGCTGCCGCCGCTGCAGCAGCCGCAGCAGCAGCAGCAGCAGCAGCAGCAGGACAGCATCTTCAGCGACGATGAGGACACCAAGAAGAAACACAGGAGGAAGCAGCAGCAGCCGCACGAGCTGCTGCAGACAGCAGCCAAGGCGTCGCTGGCGCAGCTGCAGGCCTTTTCAGGGGCCCCCTTCTTATCCTCGCCGCAGCAGCAGCAGCTGCTGCTGCAGCTGCAGCGCCTGCAGCACCACGCTGCTGCTGCGCTTGACCCCCACCAAACAGCAGCAGCTGCAAGCTGCCGCGCTGCGGTTGTAGAAGCCAGAGAGCTGCTGCAGCAGTGCATGCAGCAGGCTGAGGCCTGGGCAGATGCGTCCATCGACTGAGAGGCGCCAGCAGCTGCAGCAACAGCAGCAGCGGACCACTGACATACTAGCAGCTGCAGCAGCAGCAGCAGCCGCAGCAGCGACTGCAACTGCTGCTGCAGCAGCTGCTGATGCTACGCTCGCTGCAGCGGCACTGTGCTTGCTGGTGCGTAGCCATCTGTCTAGCCACTATTTGGCGGTTGTTTTTAGAAGCCGCAGCAGCAGCAGCAGCCGCTGCTGCTGCTGCTGCCAGAGGTGCACTGCAAAACGAAGTGCTACAGTATTTCAAGCAATTAAGTTGGGAGCCTGGGGTGGCAGCAAACAGCCAAATCCGAGCTGCTGCTGCTGCTGGTCTGCTGCAGCAGTTGCGGCGCTGCAGCACAGCGATAGCAACAAGAGAAGCAGCTCCAACTCCAGCAGCAAGAGGCCACTGCTGTTGCTGCAGCAGCACGCTGCTGCAACGGAGCTACGCCTCTGCTGGCTGCCTGCTGCTGCTGCGCTAACCTCCAAGCTGCTCTTGAAATAAATAGGCTGCAACAGCAGCAGCAGCAGCAGCAACAACAACAGCAGCAGCAATTTATGCCCATGGGAGCCAGCTGTCGAGCCTGCCGGCACGCACAGCAGCAGAGTCAAGCTCCTCCGGCAGCATATGTGTTGCTGCAACAACAGCAACACCTGCTGCTGCTGCTGGATTTTGCTGCAGCTGCAGCTGCCACGCCTTCTGGTCTTCTTTGCTTCCCAGCCGTGGGAGAATCACAGCGGCTTGCTGCTGCTGCTGCTGCTGCTGTTTGCTGCTGCAAGCCCCTGAATCTTCCTGCAGTTGCTGCTGCTGCAGCAGCAAGCGCCGCTTCTCCTCCAGGGCATCGAGACCGAGCAGCAGCGCAGCAAGCAGTCGCCGCTGACTGCTGCTGCTGCTGCTGCTGCCTTGAAGCCTGCTGGCTTTTGCTGCTCCTAGCCGCTGCTGCGGCGCACCCTCTCTGCTGTTGCTGCTGCTCCTGCTGTCGATTTGTAGGCCGGGGAGCGGAGACAGTATAGACCTGTTTGCTGCTGCTCTCTCCAGGCCTTGCAGCAGCAGCACGCAAGGAGCAGCAGCAGCAGCAGCAGCAAACAGCTGCGCCAGCCGCTGCTCAGACTCGCCCACATAAGGAGCAGCAACAGCAGCAAGAGGCACCACCAGCAGCTGCAGCCCCGAGGCCTCCGGCAGGCACAAAAGGTGCTGCAGCAGCTGCTGCGGGCTGATGCGAAGGAGCGCATCGTCCTCGTGCTGCTGCTGCTGCTGCTGCTCGTCCGCAGCAGCAACTGGAGCAGCAGCAGCAGCGCAAGGAGCAGCAGCACGGCCGTAGCCGTACAGCAGCAACCGTGGGGCGGGGACCTCTCCTTGCTTGCCGCATAACAGAGTTTCCATAAGGGCTGTGCTGCTGCTGCTGCTGCTGCTGCTGCTGCTGCTCGTGTTGCTGCTGCTACAGCGGGTGAAGTACCTTATGCGCATTTGCATCGGCAGCAGCAAACGCTCTCGCAACTGCTGCAGCAGCCGCAGCACTTTGCTGCTGCTGCCCAGCGGCCCTGGAGCAGCGGCAGGCAGCAGCACGTCGCCGCCTATGTACAGCAGACAGCGAGGCTGCTGCTGCTGCTGCTGCTGCTTCAGCAAAGCTTCTTGCTGCTGCTGCTGTGGACAGCTTATCTTATACAATTGCACCTGAACGTGCTGTTGTTGCTGCTGCTGCAGCATTTGTACGAACTCCTCGACAGTGCGCAGTAGTTGCTGCGTTTCTGCTGCTGCAGCTGCGTCGGTTGTTGCTGCTGCTGCTGCTGCTGCCGAGCAGTTTACCTCAATAACAACTGAGGGCGGGCACGTGCAGCTTTGCTGCGTGGTGTCTGCTGCTGCAGTTGCTCCTGCTGCTGGTGCAGCAGCAGCTGCTGCTGCTGCAGTTTCTTCTGCTCCTGCTGCAGTTGCTTCTGCTGCTGCAGCTGGTTCTCCCGCTGCTGTAGTTGCTTCTCCTGTTGCTGCAGTTGCTGCTGCTGCCGCTTGCAGCAATTCGGCATGCAAACTAGACAGCACTCGCTGCAGCTGCTGCCACTGCGGCGGCGACAGGTATGCAACACCAGCCAGCCGCAGCACGTACACATGCTGCAGCAGCTGCCGCTGCTGCTGCTGCTGCTGCTGCTGCAGCAGCTGCCGCTTCTGCCCGCATGCATGCATAAATGGAAGCAACAGATTTTCAGTAAGGCTCAAGAGCAATGCTTGGCCACCTAGGCAGAGCTGCTGCCGCTGCTGCCCCCCCGATCCTGCTGCTGCTGCTGCTGTTTTGGCTTTGCGCAGCTGCTTACCCGCAGCAGCAGCAGCAGCAACAGCAGCGGCGTCACAGCGCTGCAGCAGCTGATCGACTCGAAAGTAAAGATACGTCAGCTCACATGAGGAACTATCAGAACTGCTGCTGTTGGCTTTGCTTTTGCTGCTGCTGCTGCTGCTGCTGCTGCTGCTGCTGCTGCTGCACACCCTTGTGCAGCGCGGAAGCCGCAGCTTCACCTGAGCAGCGCAGCCCGCCACTGCCTCTAGAGGTGTTGCTGCTGCTGATGTTGCATCTGCTGCTGCTGCTACTACTTCGGCAGCCGCCGATGCTGCTGCGGCTGCTGCTGGTTCGGCAGCCGCTGCTGCTGCTGTTGCTGCTGCTGTCTTCATCAGTACTTCTTCGTCAAGCCGATCCACAGCGTGACTGAGCTGCGTGTATAACTCTGCTGCCTGGTCACTGCTGCTGCTGCTGCTGCTGTTGCTGCTGCTGCTGCTGCTGCACAAAGGCTGCACTGCCGCTTGTTGCAGCAGCAGCAGCTGTTGCTGCTGCAGCTGCTGCAGCGCCTGAAGCACACGGCAGCCTGCACCGGTGGATCCCTTCTCCACCTCATCGCGCGTTGCTGTGGTTTCCGTTGCCGCGGCTTCTGTTGCTGCTGTTGCTGCCACTGCTGCTGCTGCCGTAGCCGCTGCTGCTGCTGTAGATGCTGCTACTGCAGCTAGTGCTTCTGTTGATGCTGCTGCGGCCTGTGCCGTCAGTCCTGTTTGCCCGTTGGCTGCTGCTGCTGCTGCCTTCGAGCTCCTCATCGGCGCACCCTGGAGTCCCACGGCGCCGAAGCGCAAACCCTAAACCCTAAACCCTAAACCCTAAACCCTAAATCCTGGGGCCTGAAATCCGAGCCTTATTCCTGCTTCTTCATCCAGGCAGAATCCATTGCGGCGAAGGCTCGGCTTCTGGCAATAACCAGGTCCACCGACGACCCTAGCAGCAGCAGCAGCAGCAAAGTGTCGCAGCAGCAGCAACAGCAGCAGCAGCAGCAACAGAAACAGCAAAGGCAACTCAAGCCAACTTTGTCTGAAGCCAAAAATCTCCAAAGAACAGCTCTGGGCAGCACAGCTGCAGCGCCGACCCCCGGGGCCCCCGTCGATGCTGCGGGGGCCCCCGTGGGGGCCCCATGTTTCCTGTGTTTCCGCTTGAGCGGCTTTGTGGAGCTGAAAAGAAGCAAAAAAGAGTGTTAAAAATAGTCTTTTGTGTCAGTTAGGCTGCAGCAGGAAGGCTGGCGGAGGCTGTGGCAGCTGCTGCTGCTGCTGCTCTCACGGCAGCCTCCTAGCCAGCAGCAGCAGCAGCAGCTACTGCTGCTGC